GAAATTGAGACAGATATGAAGATATGAATGAAGATATGAATGAAATTGAGATAGATATAAAGATAGATATGATATGAAAATCAGATGAACAAAAATCGATCACAAAAAATAATTAAGAAAATTTGAAAAAAAAAAAAAACCATGGTGGGGTTTCGATCACCGATCACCTATTACGATCACCGATCCACATCAACAACCACGATTACCGATCTACATCAACAACCAGAAGGGGGGTTTCGATCCACATCACACAGTGAGAGACTGAGTAGGAGACCGAGTGTGAGAGAGTGAGAGGGTCAGAGAGGGGTTTCGATCATGGAGGAGAATGGGGTGTGATTTCAGAAGAGGGAGACAGAGTGAGAGAGTGAGCGAGTGAGAAAGAGACAGACTGAGAGAGTGAGAGAGGTTTCGATTATGGAGGAGAGAAGGGAGAGACCGATCCACATCAACAACCATGGAGGAGAAGGGGGAGTGGTTTCAAAAGAGGGAGACAGAGTTAGAGAGTGAGAGAGTGAGAGGGAGACAGACTGAGAGAGTGAGAGAGGTTTCGATCATGGAGGAGAGAAGGGAGAAGGGTTTGAGGAGTGAAAGGGAGTGGGAGAGGAAGAGGATGAGGATGGATCATTCTAGATGTATGGAGGCAGACGGTGATACCTCAGTGTAATAAAGAGTCGTTGGGCTCTGTTTGGTTTGTTTAACAAATAAAAAAAAATTAATTACTAGTTGAGAATAATAGTAATATAAAAAAATTACTAACTAGACGGTGAGGTTTCATTTTTTTTTTTAATTTTTTATATTTGTCTAGTTGGGAATAATATAAATATATATATATTTTTAACAAACAGGTAAAAAAATGTCACAAAATACAAAAAATAAACAAAAATAAAATCACAAAAAAACCTATATCCAAACAACACTTACAAATTTGAAAGGAAAGTTGGTTGAGATTTGCTAAAATAGCAAATGACCATTGGAGTACCATTGCTATAATTTGGCAAAATAACATATTCATTGTCAAATTAAAGTAATGGCAATAGCATATGATTGGAGATGTTCTTAGCCATAGTTTCCATAAAAAATATTTTAAAGAGTTAAAGTTTAAATGTCAAATATACTATCATATTAATCATATCACCAGTGATCAACATTGATATGTATATTTTTATATTTTTAAAATTTTAAAAAAAAATTGAGAAAAGTAAGATCTATTTTGAGAAGTAGGTAAAACGTTGACTTTTTAACTCTTTTCTTTTTCTTTTTTTTTAAGATTTATAAAAAAATAAAGAGATGACGTGACATGAAAAAGCCAAAAACCAATAAACTGACTTTCAATCTAACTGTCAAAATGAGGCCTAAGTTGGGATTTCAAGCCTTAAAATATCACAACGATTTTTGCTTATACATTAGTATAGACTAGGATTCTATGAGTCCAAAAAAAATGTTTGAGACTAATAATTGTAATTTAGTGGATGCTCTTAAGGACACTTGCTGACTGGACCTTGAAATATTTAGGTTTAAGCGTGCAGAGTTGTCTCCTACCTGCAAAAGATGCCTATTGTACACACATGAGAAGTACTGCAAAATTTATACTATCTTTATGTACGTAAGAAAGAAAGTCTCATCTCCTTTAGTTCACCATTTGTTTTATTTTATTATATAAAGTCAATATTTGAATTAATATAAATGAGATTGAATCACGTCGATAACTTTCTGGGGTAATTTCTTAGCCCTATTTAACTGTTTTAATTAATAATTGTTAATTTAACTAATTCATACACGTAATTTGTGTCAACACTTGTAGTATGTACTATATTTCTATCTCTCTCCTTTCTTCCATAGGGAGAAAGCTTGACCAATATTAGCCCAAAGCCTGATTCCAATTAGTCAGGAAATGGCATAGAGAGATAGCTATCAGAAAAATAAAAGATAAAAAAATTAATTAATTAATTAAATTAAATAAAGTTAAAAGAGAAAGATGTTGATAGAAAGAGAAAATAATTAAGCCATTAGCATACAATCTTCGTTCCAGATCCTCTCCATTTCATGAATGGATTGGAGATGTGCAATTTATATTCCAATCGAATTATAGCTATATCTTTATTACCATAAAATTTTCAATAATATTACACAAATTTGGGTGTGCAAGGTGCACACCATATGCGTTTGCGTAAATTCTCACAAATATAGATAAGTTAGTTCACAAAATCACTTAAATTCTCACAAATATACATAGGTTGTGATTTCTTAAATTTTTATGGATTAACTTAAATATATTTGTGAAAACTTAAGCAATTTTGTGAGATAACTTACGTATATTTATGAGAATTTACGCAAGTACATGTGATATGCCTTCGTACACTTAAGATTTGCCCTTTTATTTGTCATCTAAAGAGATAGACTCAACTAAATATTAACTCAGCCCAAGCTATGCAAAAGACTCTTATGCCTTTCTTGGTCGGATCTAACCAACCGGATGTAGGAGCGAGATCAGCCTCTTGATCTTGGTTTTGCATCCGAAGTAATAAAAAAGTTTATGCAGAGTGATTGGTTATTAATAAAATTTAGCGTTATTTACATGAATACTCCCTAAGTTATTGAGATGCACCACTTTGATACCTTAAACTATAGAAATGTACAAATTGACCTCCTAAATTATTAAAAAATATCACTTTGTCCCATAAATTATAAAAGCGTACGAATGAACATCCTAAACTATTGACATGTTTCACTTTGATCCCTTTTGTTAGGGGATTCAATTTATATGCTTTTATAGTTTAGAGGTTTATTTATATGCATAGTAGGCAAAATGATACATTCCAGTAGTCTAAGAGGTCGATGTGCACGCTTTTATAATTTAAGAGATAAAAACAATATTTTTCAATAATTTAGGGGGTCTTCGCATAAATAACCCAAAAATTTATGTGAGGCTCATTGTGCTAAAGATTATAATTGTAACACATAAGATGATACAATAAATGTGGACATTTTGCATAATTGATATTTTTTTTCTTTCAAAATATTTGCTTAGTATACATTATTTTTTTTGACAATTGATAATTTAACATAGTGTGAGAACTTCCTGAGTTTAAACCTTGTTTACTCTATTTTATCTGTCATTGTACATTTTAAAATTTTAAAACAAGTGGTGATATGGCTTAAATAGTCCTTACAAAAAGACTAATTGGGTTGGGGTTTAATAATTTTCAGGCTGAGATTTGATGTATATAGCATCGTTATAATATTATTTTTAGTAAAGTCAAAGTACTCAAATCTAGCCTAGACTAATGAAATTGCAAGTGGCTGTTGAAGTGATTTGTATAAAGTCATTGTTTCAAGTGAATATTATAATCTTGCATGGATTACCATATGCTGTTAGTCTTAAAAAAAATAAAAATAAATAAATAAATAAAAAATGATGGCATGTACAGAAAGACCTTTAACCCAGATACCATGCATTCTGAATAAAAGGACAGATCATGGATGTGGGTCCCCCTCCCCAAGCATTGACTTTTTGTACTGTTTGTTTTAATCAACCGGCCATGGGAGCATCTATGGTCGCTAATCAGTGATTCCTGTGAGTTTAGTTACATGCTAGCTGCGAATTCTGCCCTGCAAAACAAATTTATATTGAGGGAGGTCAAACAAAGCATCGCATGTGCACAATACATATATTCCAAACGTAAGGTTGTCTTTGGTTAGAGATTTAATAAGAGATTTAGAAATAAGAAGGAGAAAAATAAGTAAAATGTTAATAAAATATAGAAAAATATTATAGGTCTTAATTTTTTTACTAAATAAATGATTATATGTGATATGGGGTTTACACTATATTTGGTAAAAAATTTGATAGTCTTAACATTATCTTAAAATATATTTACATTTCACTTAATTTTATATATCTTTTTCATTTTTCTTTCTAAATTCTTTTTTAAATTTTCCAACCAAACAGAAATTAATGGAATCAAAACCCTTTCCTCTATATGGGTTAACAATTTGTTTTGAAACAAAAATGATATGTATAGTGTGAACCACTCGTAATGAACTTGGGATTATTGTTACGTTCAAAACGGTACAATTTTGTATTTTAAAACTTGAATTGTAGGAATTTTATTTTATTTTACAATTTAAAACAGAAATCGATATTGTTTTATGCCACTGGGGCGGATCAGGGTCGGTGTTGTGCCACAAACCCATGTTGTGAGGCCTCATGGGGCGTGTGCTGAGTTTTTTTTTATGATTTGGACTGTTCATATTATAAGATTTATTGAGTATATTATCCATAGAAAAAAAAAAAAGGTTAATTAGACATACATAACTCTATAATTAACACTAACTGTTTTTACAAAAATTATTAAAATTATACCAACCATTTAATTTTTGTAAACAAATATTGTTTGTTATAGAGTAATAGATGTTCAATTAATCTGATTTTTATAATGCATGACCTACTCATTAAATTTTATAATATAAATTATCCGAATCATAAAAATAAACTCGAAACAAACCTGAATGGGGGCTCTCTCACACAGCACAGCACCTACTCCAATTCCCACTGGGGCAATAGGGACACCAATCCACTCATAATATGACTTCGTGGCATCTTTCCACTCACAATATGACTTGGTGGCATCTTTCCACATTATTGTTTTACAATCAATTTTTCCAGGTGCACATATTTAATAATAGAATTCAACATAACTTTCTCACATAAAATGAAACATACATTTAATGGGTCCTATCAGATCCTGTCTTATAATTTTTCTTTTGTTGAGCAATAATAGATCTTCTAATTTTAAAGTTTTAATTAAGCTGTAATAATATAATCAAAAAAAAAATCAAAATGTCACATCAATAGATGGAACCCATCCTTTAAAACTCCTTTAGAGTTCTTATTTTAAAACTATCAAACATTTTTGTTGCAATATAAGGGCCAGGCTTTTGGAATTAATGGTAATTTGCCTAACATGGACCACCTACCATTAAAGAACCCCTCTCTAAAGAAAATTATTTTCTTTCCCTTTGAAATGGGCTATATAAATACCAAGTCAGAGGTTGAAGAGGAGCCTACAAAATAAAATTATAAGCTCAAATTGCCTTTCAACAAGTTAGTGCAGACATGAGATCTCCATCTGCCTTCTTCCTGCTTTTCTTGCTTTTCTTGGTAAGCACTCCTATATGCACATATAAATCTTCTAATGCACTGAATCACCCTTTTTAACTGTTCTCTTACAGAGTTGATCAAGCATCTTATTTATATCTATATATACATATACATGTAATAATACACCAATTAACATGAATTCTTCTTTTTCTTCTTCTTCTTCTTTGTGGATGATCAGCTTTTGAACCTCAGCAACGCGAGAAAAGATCCAGAAGACTATTGGAAGAAGGTAATGAAAGGCGAGCCGATGCCCAAAGCAATTGAAGAACTTGTTCATGGAAATTCAGTGGCATCCGAGAAGAAGTGGGAAGCATCTTCTCACGAGGCTATAAACGTGGCCCACTTCAAGAAGGATTTCGACACGAGGCCTATCGCGATAATTTATCACAGACATGATGAGACTAAAAAAGCGAAGCCTCTTGTGAAGGACTTGAATTTAGGACATGGAATTGAGTCTCAAGGGCATAAATCAGTTGTTAAGCCATGAAAGAGAGCTTAGAACAGTATATGCATATATATATATATATGTCTGTGTGTGCGCGCGCGCGCGAGCGCAATCAGATGTGGGTTTGTTATGTTTATTATGCCTTGTCCATGTAGTGAGTCAGTGATCAATGTTTATAAAATTTAGTGTTTTGTTGATCAAACTATGAATATTGTCTGTGGGAAAGATTTTGCTCTGCTAAAATCAGTGTCTAAAACACTATAAAGATGATTTTGATTCATGAAAAATTTTGTATACAGAATTAAATTACAAAAAAATAAAATAAGAATAAGAATATACATGTTAGCATGATGAAATGGGTAATGCGAGAGATATCAAATGAATATCCAACGCTCATTTGAGACATTTGGTCATTCATTTGGTAGAAAATTTGGAGCCTATAGTATTTTCCTAATGAAATTCTTATTATTTTCAACAGTGGGTCCGTCATTCCATATGATTAGTTTCTATAATTTAATTTCGTGAATGCGAAATTACTCATGTTTCATTACCTAAACGGGCATGGAAAAACCCAATTATTGCATAGTATCAAAAGCATTGGCATAATATATAATCAAGTTTCGCTCTTAGTTTGGTATTCATTTTATTTTAATGCTCTTCCAGTTTTATAAATATGCTTGATGCATTTTTCAGATTGAATATATAAAAAAATAAAAAAAATCACTATTTGGTTGATTTCTCAAAAAATATATTTTTATATTTTTTTAAATTGAAAGCTAATATTGTAAAAAATAAAAATAAAAGAAATCCTTTTGATATGATTCTCTCTCTCTCACAAAAATAATATTTAAAAAATTTAAAAATATTTTTAATGTTTATTTTTAGTAAACTAGTTTCTATTATATATATATAACAAAATTTGAAATTTTAACTAAACAAGGTGAATTATTTCTAATATTATCTTTAGATTCTTCAGATTGAACCCATAATGCATATCAGTATCAGTAGTTATTTTGGTTTGATAGTGAGGAGAGAGGTATGATCAGTCGGATTGAGTTTATCTCATGTTCATATTTTAATTTGTGAGAATTTGAAGGGTATGTGAGATCTATTAAAAAAATTGTTTTAGCCTCTGTTTGGCAAGTTGGTTCTTGGGCTTTTTTGGCTATTTTAGCCACAAAAAACAAAATAGGCTATTTTAGCCATAACAAACAAAACATCACATCCAATCCATAATCATTACATTCTTCTCTCACAAAAAAATTTAAAAAAGCCAAAAAGCCAAAAAGCCCTTCCCAAACCAAGCTTTTAAGCCCAGGCTAAAATAGCCAAAAAAGCCAAAAAGCCAAAAAGTCAACCCACTTCCCAAACGGAGGCTTAATAATTCAAACTGTTTATATTATCTGGAACTTCGTATATATAATCCATTAAGCAATTGAGTCAATCCGATAATCATAACATTTTTATTTTATCATATATGTCTTTAAAAAAAAAAAAAAAAGTGGTCTATTTTTAAAATATACTTGTCATTTATTTTTTTCAAAAACAAACGTGATAAAATAAAATATTATGATTATCAGATCGATCCAATTTTTATTTTATTATTATTATTTTTTTTATGAATGATATACAATGAAGGTCTTATAAAATAAACAATTCAGATTATTGAAATGGTATCCTGGGTGGTCCCACGAGCCCCTCAAGCTCTCTTAAGTTGAGACGTGAACTTGATAAAACTTTAATCCGTATCATTATTACATCTATTAATTTAATTTAATTGATAATCCTTTCAGAAATTATATCAAAATCAAGTTCAAAATTAGTTATTCAAAACGCAATGGATTAATTCAAATTGAACATTAATTTCTTAATCATTTTGAGGAGAATGAAAATACTATTTTACTTTAGTCCAATTTTTCCAATTTTTAAAGTGATGTTATCAATTGGATTAGATTAACACAATACAAAAAAGTTTAAGGGTAAAAGTATATACAATTGTAAGTATAAGAATCAAATTGACACAAGCATAAAATTGCAATTAATATATATAATTTTTCATAAGTCAACTTGAAATCTATAAGACGAGCTTTGAATCCAACATTAAACTTTTGCTCATTAAAACAAACAAACAAACAAACTTTGAATTCAACATATAAGACTAGTTTTGAATCCAACATTAAATTTTTGCTCATTAAAATAAAATTAAAAAATAAAAACTTTGAATTCCACATTAAATTTAGACCATGCATGAATGTATGGTAGCTACTATTACATTGCCTACTGGAAAGATAAGTGAATTTTCAATTACTATGGAGTTCTACCAAGGATCAACCTTAAATCTTTATCTTTTTGCTTTAGTTATAGATGAGTTGACGAGAAATATTCAAGATAATGTGTCATGGTGTATACTTTTTTGCAAATGATATCGAGTTAGTGGATGAGTCCAGAGAAGGAATTACACTAAGTTGGAGACTTGAAGAGAAGTACTTGAATCTAAAAGATTTAGGATAAGCAAAACTAAGATAGAGTACATGAAGTGTAATTTTAGTAACAGTAAACAATGGAAGTAGAGGAAAAGAAAAGATTGAGAACCGAACAACCTAAGAGTGAACATTTTCGTTATTTAGGATCGATTATCACAACGGTTAGGGAGATTGGAGAAGACGTGGTTCATAGATTTAGGGCAATGTGGCTTAAGTGGAGGAGTGTGTCTAAGATATTGTGTGATAAATGAGTACCCACTAGACTAAAACGAAAGTTCTATAGAATGGCTATTACACCAGCGATGTTGTATGGGATGGAATGTTGGGCAACTAAGAAACATGTATATAAGATAAGTATTGCTGAGATAAGAATACTAAGGTGGATGTGTAACAAGACTAGAAAAGATAGAACTAGGAATGAGTATATTCATAAATTGGTAGGAGTAACACCGATAGAAGATAAGTTGATAGAAAGAATAGATTGAGATGGTTTGGTCATATACAACAGAGACCAACAGAGACAGTAATGAAGAGATGTGATACAGTGACGGCAGATAGAAGTATTAGGAGAAGGGGCACACCTAGATTGTCATGGGCGAGTATGGTAAATAGGGATATGAATCTCCTTAATTTGACTAACTAAATAGCTGTTGATAAAGTCGAGTGAAGAAGAAGAACTCATGTAGCCAACCTCGTTTGATAGGACTTAAGGCATAGTTTAATTTGGTTTGGTTTTGATTTGTGGCTTACATAAATGTTGGAAAAAATAAATAAAATAAATAACTGAAAGGGAGGTTTTCACCAGAATGGTGGGTCGGGCAAAGCTCACCAAGCCTGAACTCTAGCAACCTAGTAGAATTATGCTAGGTGATGGGCTTTGACTTAACAACCTAGCAAAGTGTTTGTTTGACTTTGGCGACTGAGCAAGGAGTCCCACTCTGGCAACCTAGCAAAGTGTATGTCTAACTTTGGCGACCTAGCAAAATGACATTTTTGCACACTTGGAGCACAGAAAGCGTTGGGCTGAGCAAAAGCATCTCACATTGTGTCGCACAAGTGTTGAGCCAAGCTAGGTTCAAATGATCTAATGACCGGATAGAATTATGCTAGGTTAATGGACCTAGCTTGGGTGGAATATGAGATGATGCTTTACTCTATATTTCGGTAGCCTTTGGGCCGAAATAAGTAAGGAATAACTAAGTAGCTGAGCAAATATAGAACAGCCAGAAAGATGGTTTGCACAGCTTGATTGTTAGCTTAGAAGCAGATAACCTTCATAGAGACCCGCATGGTCAAGGTGATAAAAGGATGGACATTATTCTTGAGAAGTGGACTCCTATTAGGACTCTATGAAGTGAAATTAGAGTCATGCTAGGTCTCTATTGTGCCAAAACATATAAATGTTCAGAGTTAACCCTAAAGGAGGTATGGCAACTTTGTTTACAAAGCTCTTTGAGAGCTTTTTCTCATATTAATCTTGAGTATTAACTTAAGCATTTAAGTGTTTTCTGTCACACCTGCTGATAAGCTCATTGGAGTTGTTTTGAAGGTCAAACGACATCAATGAAAGGAGTTCGAGCTTGATCACGAGGAATATACGTGCAAGGTATATTTCGTGCTCGTACAATAACAAACTTGTTTTGTTTAATAACTCTAATTCACAATTTGTTTGTTAGTGCAACTTGATGAGTTTGAAGTTTAATGAAATCACTTTTTTTTTTTACTTCACGGTATTATATCATATCTTATAATAAAATATTATTTATTTATTTTATTAATTAATTAATAATTATCTCTAAATAAAGGAAGTAATCTTGAATATTCCTGCAAAAAGTATTATAAAATCAATGATATATAATATTTGTCTACAAAAATACATATAAATTGTTATAATAAATGTATTCATCCCCCCTTCGCACATATTAAGATGTATTGAAATCATACTTTGAACATACCCAAGTGGCTCTTAAAATCCCCAGATGAATTATATTAGAAAAAGTCTAGAGTCTCAGACTTAGGGACCCAGATTTTTCTAGGTGGGAGATTGTGTAACGAAGATTAAATTTGTATAGTGTGATGTCTATATATAGAATAAATCTGAACCATAAAATGATAATCCTGAATAATTTATGCATAGTTAATAATAATGCTGACTATATCATCCAATGTATCTTAATTACTAAATTCTAAATTACTCCAACAATAAATATTTCTTTTTTTTCTCTTTTTTTTTTTTATCAGCAAAAAATAAACATTTTATTCATAGAAACAAAACATTGCAATATAAATCCCCCCTTAAGTCTCATGAAATGAAGGACTCTCACAACAAAAAAGAGTTACTCAAGACATATGATCAACATTTTTAGCTATTATCAATGAAGGTAACGTAAATATATACTGACACAGGTATCCATTTTCACAACCTAATGCCTCTGTTTTTTTATCGGCAAAATGAACTTTATTGAATAAGAATTAAGGTGAAATCTTACATCATACATAACTAAAGTGAAAACCTAGAAAGTGCTATATGCATCAAAACATAAACACTACATCCCAACTAGATTAGTACTAAATGACATGGCCAATCATCTGCTTCACAAACCACAAAACAATAAGACAGTGGTTAATGAGGATTCAACTATGAGGCAATTACAAACATAATAGAAGTTATTGCCAAACACCCAGCACACACTCATAATTTTGGTCATACTTTTGAGCCCAAACCAAGGATGCGTGATCTATCCCTTATAGATTTCAATCTATAAACTAGATCAATTACTATATAAATAATCCACCTCTCCGATACTAAACTTAAACCCAAAGAGCTAATCTCACTTTGAACTTACTGTTGAACCCAAAGAGATCCTTAACGAATTGTAACACTGTTGAACTTACTGTCATTCCTAGCCTTCCAGGTCGACCAAATTACAGCCACAGGCAATGTGTTCCATGTACCTTTCTCCAATTTTTTGAACCGACCCACCATTGCAACAGGTCAACAATGGAAGCTGGCATAACCCACTGAATTCCCCACGAAGATAGTATCTCAGACCGGATCCTCCAAACAAACGAGCAATGGAGCAAATGATCCACTGATTCATCATGAAAATTACAGAAAACACATGAGTGTCTAACACTTTGGTCCAACACTCCTATGTTCTGTAATAGCACAGACGATTTTAATCTACCTCTCCAAGCCAACCAATAGATAAATTGTTCCTTCTGAGGGTAATGTGTTTGGTTTGAGTTTTTTGGATTAAGTTTTTTGAAAATTGAGTTTTTTGATTTTTGTGTTTTCTTGTTTTTAGTGAATATTTTTAAAATTTTAAACATTTTTTTTTACTTTTTTAGATGCACCTTACTTAGATGTGTCTAAAAAGTAAAAAAATTGTGAAAAAATATTTTAAAAAATTAAGAAATACATAAAAATACAAAAAATGTATTAAATTCTTGTATTTTTTTTATATTTTTGGTATTTAGTGAATTTTTAAAAGATTTTTTTTACAATTTTTTTACTTTTTAGGTGTATTTATGTTAAGTGTGTCTAAAAAGTAAAAAATTTGCATAAAATATTAAAAAAATTCAGTAAAAACAAAAAAACACGAAAAATAAGAATGTAGAATTTTCTGAAAACTGTTTTTAAAAAATAGGAACCAAGAACATTGAGCCTTGAAGCACCATTCAATTCCAACCATTTATAAACTGATTTAACAGAAAACTGACCTGAAGACCTTGCTTTCACTTTCTTGGCGATGACAATAGAGAATTGTCATATCGTAGTTCAAGAATTTTGGAGACTTAGGTTGTAATGGCTTGGGTCGAGACCTGACCCTTTTAGGTCCTTTGCATACTTGTATTGAATCATTTGACTCATCTATCCCCTATTCATTTTGGGAATTTCCTTACTTCTTTTGAAAAATAGGGTCCTTTGCATACTTGTATTGAATCATTTGACTCATCTATCCCCTATTCATTTTGGGAATTTCCTTACTTCTTTTGAAAAATATTTTTTACATTTTCTGACTTTTGGTATGACAAAAAAACTTATTTTGGTGGAAAATATTTTTGAAAAAACATGTTCCAGACTAAATTTTTACCAATACCACATTACAACAATCTCCACCACCTCCACCTTCAACTTGAAGTGAAGATATCACAAGTAACTCTAAACATTTTCTGGAGTAAAGTTTTGTGAATGCTACCCCACAATCACCACTAGCTCATCATTGGTGCCACTACCATGCCCACAACCCCACCACCCGCTCTACTACCTCCAACACCAGCTGTACTATCGTTGCAACCACCATCATCTCACTACTAATACAACTATTAGTACATCAGTTTCAAGATCATATCTAAATATAGAAAAATGTTTTCTTTAAAAAAAACATTTTTTTAAAAAAAGTTCATATAAAATGTATTTTGCAGAAACAAATAATTTTCTAGTTCTTTTCGTGTCTCATTGTTGAGCAGTTTGCAAACACTCTTGAAGAAAAACCAGACCCAGGAGGAGAATGCTGGCAAGACATTATGAAAGATCAACCCATGCCCAAAGCAATTCAGGGCCTCATGGGCCATCAGGGCTCATTGTCATTGTCAGCTCTCTCCAAGAAGAAAACAGACTCTCACACATCAACAGAAACCATGGAGTACAGTGCAAAAGAGAGGAGGCCATTTGTCAAAGACTTTGAGCCGAGGCCTAGCATCACTGGTTACCATGATGATGATAAACTAACCGAAGAGAAATCTTTTGTGAAAGATATTGAACCGAGACCTAGCATCACAGCTTACCGTGATGATGATAAACTAACCAAAGAGAAATCTTTTGTGAAAGACTTTGAGCCGAGGCCTAGCATAACAGCTTACCGTGGTGATAATAAACTAACCGAAGAGAAATATTTTGTGAAAGACTTTGAGCCAAGGCCTTGCATCACAGCTTACCGTGATGACAATGTTGTTTGTCAAGATTAAGGGACAATCAAGAAGGAAATTACTCAGTTGTTTCAGAGCACTACCATGCATTTAGTGTTCTTGACCACGGAGGCAGTTCAAAAGGGATGCACATGACCGAGCTTGTTTTGAAATGTCTGGTTGGCTCCATCTATTTGGTGACTAGTGCTTCTATTGTTTGCATCATGTTATCGTACCAAGTTTATATTGTCCGTGGTGTGTTATATGTAGCGTGATTGTGAAGTGAGTCATGTCTACTCTCAAAATAAGGAGTTTGAGATGTTGGATTGAATAATAGTGAATTTTGGGATGTTATGTCTGAATGTTTTGATATCTTTGAAATGTTTGTACAAATGAGATTTAATCCTATCCTAATGCAATGGAGATCTCAAACCAGCATTATTGATCAAAACACATAGTCGGCTTTCATAATCGATTTTATGAAAAAAAATTCAAGAGGCTAGAAACTAATTTGGTGAAAATTTTGAAAAATTAAAAAACAATCATCATTTTCATATAAGTTTATCTATTTTGGAGACAAATAATTTTTGAAAATTCAAACAAATCCTTTGGATATATATATTTTTTTAATCAAACTGATTTCTGCTTTAAATTTTATTTATTTATCTCAACGAACAAGTTCTCAAAATAAAGCCAAACAAAACAGAATCCATTGCTTGGTGACTCATTAATACACAATATATGCAAAAATAATGTAGAAATTTGTTTTCATAACTCAAGATTCACTTTTTAAAAAATCGAAATTTTTTATTTTTCGTATTTTTTTTGTTTTTATTGATTTTTTTTAATATTTAAGCAATTTTTTAAATTTTGAATAAATTACAAATACACCCTTTGAGGTTTGTTTAAAATACGAATTGCCCTTTGTGATTTGAAAAATTACAAATACCTCACTGTCATAATTTTTTACTTAAGAAAATTAATTGAGAAAGTGAATTTTCTAACCATTCACTTATACAATAATAAAATTATATGAATTATTAATTGATATAAAATTTTAACATTATTAAAAACTGTATATTAACTTGATGATTTATTAATAAAAAAACATATTTGTTATGAAATTAGAAACCGTAAGGGGCATCATGTAATTTTTAAAACTACAAGAGATAATTTGTAATTTAAGTAAACCTCAAAATGTTTATTTGTAATTTACCCTTTAATTTTTAAATACACGTAACATAAATATACTTCAAAAATATAATATTTGTAAACTAAATCTTTAAGAACTTCACTAACCAAAAATACAAAAATTTAATACATTTTTTATATTCTTATGCATATATTAATTTTTTAAAATATTTTTTTTACAAATATTTTAAACTCTCATCTAAGTTAAATGTGCATTCCAAAAAAAAAAATTACAATTAAAATTTTTAAATATTTACTAAAAACCAAAAAAAGAGGCGACAAATAAAATCTCAATTTTCATAAAATTAAATTCAGAAAATTAAGTATTGTTCAAATTTCACACTTGTTTGATGAGGCTCGCACACATTGCTTTACGTTCTTATCTGCACATAACTGGGATAATATTGGGTATATTTTAAAACTTTTTTTTGGAAAACCAAAATTTGATAGCAAAGTTAAGGCACGGAAATTGTATGAAAATCCCAGGAAAATGTGCACACACCAGCATCATCTCGAATTCCCTCAAGCCAAAAAAAAAAAAAAAACACCTCGAGTGACATGAAGACAGCAATTGTATTTCCAATACTCCACCTTGTACCACAATTTGTATCAAAAAATTCAACGTCTTAAGCATCTGATTGGAAATGAAAGAAAAAAACAATCACTGACATCTTCAAGCTCCAACATATTATTATATGACAGCAATTGTATTTCCAATACTCCACCTTCTACCACAATTTGTATAAAAAAAATTCAACATCTAAAGCATCTGATTGGAAATGAAAGAAAAAAACAATCATTCACATCTTCAAACTCCAGCATATTATAATATTCCTTCACCATTCATTCACAATATCCGCACCGCTCGCAATTTTGAGCACAGTAAGCAAAATATGGAGTCCTAAAAGCACTAGCTAAATAAAATCACAACATTTTAACTTTCAACAATAACTGAACAGTGTGCTTAAAGTTAATCAAATGCGACTCTCCGAAATCAAGCACCATACAACCAAGTTCTATCCCAAGGTTTTTATAGTTACCCGAAAAATATCAGATAGTAGATTTAGCAATCGCATCCAGTTGGCCTCGGCTGACTGCTGCTTGCAACGTCAATGGTGTCCGGCAGGTATCTTCATACCATAAAAAATTACCGACAAAGCAACAAAAATAGGAAAAAGCAGAAAATTTGGTGTTATTAATAACAATTTGTAATGCAATACTTCAAAACTAAAAACATTTTTCATTCCATAAAGTAATTTTCACTTAGAACAGTAAGCACCTCCAACTTCACAAACTATATAAATAACACAATCACTCTCTCTAACTTCAGAATATCTAACAATTCGATGAAATTTTCATAATTAAATTATTTCCAGAATAAGTGAGCAGAAGGTAAATAAAACTTTTATGGACTTGCTAACAGCAGAATATCTAACAGGATAATGAAATTAATTCCAGGGTAAGAGGGCAAACAGGTAAATTAAAACTTCATAAAGTGCAAAAAAATATTGCAGTAGAATTAAGAGGTCCTAGAGACCTTTAAATTAGGCAACTCTTCAAAATTTTGAAATGTAGATTAAAGTACCTGAAAATTCTTCCAGAATGATTCCATAACTATGGTTAGTAGTTTACTAGTTTCCATAAAATAAAGGGTTTATTGCACTTTATATCAAATTGTCTACTTAGTCCCTAAACTATTGATTTAGTATAATAAGTCCCTAAATATATAAATCAAAGTTTATTTAGTCCCTAAACTATCAATTAAATCTATTAAGTAACTAAAATATTTAATTCAAACCTAGCTGGTCCCTGAAAGAATTACAAAAATAAAACATAAGCCCTCAATATTATAAATTAGTAAAATACCTTATGAAGTTAAAATTTTATTTCAAAAAAAACTTTAAATTTGTATTTTGTCTTTAAAAAGTTGGGTGTCAGTGCTTATGGTGAGGTGAGTTTCCTTTATAAAGGTAAGGATAATTATCTATAGCATTTTCTTACTTATTATCTACAATGACTACGTACTTGCTTTTATTTAGTATTATATGTCATATTTTGTTTATAATTTCTAATTGATTGTTTTTAGGAGATTTTTTTTTAGGGTCTCTCGTATTAAGATTTTATAGCATAAAGGGCATCCAATATTTTTATTATGTCTAAGGTCTCTCAAAATTGATCCAAAGAAAATTTAATCCAAAAAATCTCTGCAGAGAGATTCTGGGAAAGCTAGAGAAATTCTTTGGATTCCAGTCTAGAGATTTTCTCTGCTTTTCGCAAGAATTTTTCCGGGTTCAAACCATAAAATTTCTGCCTTCCCAATCACAATGTGCAATACACAAATCGATCACCCAAATAAGCAACAACAACAACCAATATACATATATCCAGAGAATTTCTCTAGACTTCCCAGAGAAATTCTTTGGATTCCAGTCTCGAAAATTTCTCTGGCTTTCCAGAGAATTTCTCTGGATTTTCATTGAATTTGAAGAAACAATAATGAAGAGTTCAAGGAACAGAGCATTTGACTTCACTATGATTTGCATTTGTCCATGGGAAGGCCGGAGAAATTCTCTGGATTCCAATTTAGAGATTTTCTCTGGATTTCCAGAGATTTTCGCTAGATTTCAAGAAACAGTAATAAAGAGTTCAAGAAACACCAAAAAATTTCTCTACCTTCCCGATCACAATGTGCAATACACAAATCGATGACCCAAATAAGCAACAACAACAACAACAACAACAACAACCAATATACATATATCCAGAGAATTTCTCTGGACTTCTCAGAAAATCTCTCCAAAGAAATTCTCTAGATTCCAGTCTAGAGATTTTCTCGGGATTTTCTTTGAATTTCAAGAAACAGTAATGAAAAGTTCAAGGAACAAAGCATCTGGTTTCACTATGATTTGCATTTGTCCATGGTAAGGCTAGAGAAATTCTCTGGGTTCCAATCTAGAGATTTTCTCTGGATTTTCTATGGATTTCAAGAAACAGTAATGAAGAGTTCAAGAAACACCAGAAAATTTCTCTGCCTTTCCAATCACGATGTGCAATACACAAATTGATCACCCAAATAAGCAACAACAACAACAACCAACATACATATATCCAGAGAATTTCTTTGGACTTCTTAAATTCTCTGGATTCCAGTCTAGAGAATTTCTCTGGATTTGCTCTGGATTTCAACAAACAATAATGAAAAGTTTAAGGAACAGAGCATCTGGCTTCACTGTAATTTGCATTTGTCTATACACATAATACACATACACCTCCTTAAATACTAAAACTTTAGATTCACATTCCCAAATCCTTTAAGACCCATCAACACCATACCAAATTGTCAAACAAACCGTAATTACATTGTTCTTGAGACAGATTTCAAGAAACACGCTATATTGCAGAAAATAAAGAAAACAAAACAGGAGAAAAACAGAGAGAGAGAGAGAGAGAGAGAGAATATATACGACCGCAAGAGGAGATGCGGGAGAAGATGGCGGCAATGGGAGGAGATGCAACGATAAGAAAGAGCTATCGGCGGCGGCGATAGAGGTGGAGTTCATTGAGGAAGAGAAGAGCAGAGAGAGAGAGACCGGTTTGATTTTAGAGAATTAAATTTCTCTGTGATATATAGGTGTCTAGATTGAGGGACCTTAGACATCACAAAATAATATTGTAGATCTCTTCCATTACTAAAAATGGGATAGGGATCTTAGACTAATTTTCTCTTGTTTTTAAGTTTTTTGCTAAGTTATTTTTATAACTTAATTAATGTATTATTTTATTTTATTATTATTATTTGTAGCGAAGCGTTATTGTTTAAATTATTTAATTCTATTTCTTCAGTATAGCTAATACTCATATAATTTTATTGGCAAGACTGAAAAACTAGAATCTAATACTAATTTAAATATACAATGAAATAAAACACTTTTTCAAAACAAAATAAAAATTTAAAGACTAAATAATAACACTTATGGGCATATATTTTATTTTTGTAATCCTTTCAGGGACTAAGTAAGTTTGAATTAAATACTTTAAGGATTTAATAAATTCAATCAATAGTATAGGGACTAAATAGACTTTGACTTGTATGCTTTAGGGACTGAGTACACACAATCGATAGTTCAAGGACTAAGTAGATAATTTGGAAATAATTTAGGTGTAGAAAATGTAATAAACCCTAAAATAAATAAGCATTGTTCAAAGTGAAAAAACATACCCACTAAAAATTAAAGAAAACAACATATAAACCAAGTGGAAAAGCGAAATGGGAGGTTTACACAACACTTGAAAGACAATATACACAAGTCAAAATGCACCCAATGAACTCAAAATGTTACATTTGACGAATTGTCTTGAGACATTGAAATTTTAACCAATATAAAGTTCACTATGTAATTTCATCGGAGAAGGATTCACTATTACCTCAATCCGAATTTTCGCAATCACCAAGAAAAGCAACTCGGCAAATGCAAAAATAATTTCATCTAGGTAGTACCATCTCTCACCACAGGTAAGAGAAAATAAACACACATACAATCCCACCCACATACAGGTAGCAAGTACCCAAAATTTCAGTGGTGCACTGTGCACCTCCTAGAGAGCAGGTTGATTTCTATGGAAATCCAAAAATTTGTTATGCATCTCACACATGTTTTGAATCATTAACGATGACAAATTGAAATTCTTTTTATGCTGACTGCAGACAGTCAAGATTCAAGGGTCCCAATCATTGTATGCTCCATCAGCACAACCGACTACCAATAATTTATCAAGTGGATGCATGCAAAAACTATGGTGTGTCGTGTGCAATGATATGGATAATTTTCAGTTATTTATTTTTTTACTCACATTTCTTCCTCTTCCCCACTCTTCAGGGCATTCTTTGCTATGACCTGGAAAGCTTCTTCAACATTGATGCCCTCCTTGGCTGATGTCTCGAAGTATGGAATATTCCCTTTTGAGGCACACCAAGCCCGAGCCTTTTTCTCAGAAACCTGAAGAAATTCACAAAAAACAGTAAGCTGATATCTACATTGAGAGAAAATCATCTCATTTTGGAAAACTAATTGGTAAACCTAAAGATTCAAATAAATACCAACCACTCTATTATTTCCACCATCCACATCAATCTTGTTGCCTATAACAACAAATGGGAAATTTTCTGGATCCGAAGGGCTTGCCTGCATGAGAGTTCTCAAGCCATCAGTTTATATTGATGTTTCACTTAAATTATAAAACTAAATTATACACAACCACAAGAAGCAAGCTTTTAATCCATGCCGCAATAAGTTTATTGTTGTTCTTGTTGATAGGAAGGAGAAGAAAAAGGGGAAACTCAAATGAAAAAAGCAAAAAAACCCAACAACTTGCAGTTGACCCAAGGAGCCTTCTGCTCGAGTCAGCTCTGCATAGAAACATATTCTTGATGAAGGGAAGACACAAAACAAGGAAAAAAAAAAAAGATTGTACGACTAACAGAAGAATAAAAAAAAAAGATAATTTTGATTTACTAGATCCTATCATGTAGAAAAATCAAACATCCCCCAAGAATACATGAACATCTATACCTGAATAAGGAACTCTTCCCTCCAATTGTTTAGATTGTCAAATGACTTCATCACATTTACATCATATACAAGAACACAGCAATCAGCACCGCGGTAGAAAGCGACACCTAGACTTTGAAATCTTTCCTGGCCAGCTGTATCCCAGATCTGCCAAAACAAAAGGTGAACTCAATCTAAGGCACAACTCATTCAGTTAAACAGGAGTTTAAGATACCCACATAGGTACACTAAAAATCTAACGATAGAAATGGCAAGGCAAAATAACTATGTTGTAAACATGAAAGCAGAACTGTGAATAGTATTGGCACCTTCTAACGAACTAGAAGTAATAATTTGGTAAACAGAGAGACTCTGCTTAAGCCATACAGCAGTAAAAGCATGCCAATGTCAACAACATAATTTAAAAAACGATTATATTATTGCACTCAATCAAGCAGTCCCATAAAAAAGAAAAGAGGCCGTATTAGTAAATAACACTCACATTATCACATTTTATGAATTGTTTTACAACTTGCTCCATTCTTCTCACTATATGGTAAAAGACTTAACATTTTAGTATTTTTTTTTTTATCTCTTTCATGAGCAAATGTTAAACAGAGTTAGCAGTTTCATCACATGGAAGACAGCACGCTTCATGAGACATTAACACAACCAGACCTCTGTCAAATTGGAAAAGCAATGATTTCCATCAGCGACAGGATTGGGAGGTTGGGCAATAAGTAGATCTGATGGTTGGTTTGTATGGAGTTCGAGTTGTGGGTGAGGGGGATATTTGTTTGGTGTGGCAGCGGCAGGGTGCTAAGGAGGTTTTTTCGGCGTCGTCTTTTCTATAAGCTTTGGTGGGAGGTGTAGATACTAAGTGCCCATTTGCCTACTTGGCCTTTTCAGTGATTTTTTGGCTTTTTTATGAGGTGAAAAAAGCTATGTTTGGAAAGTTTTTTTAGTTGAATAGATAGTTGTGAGGAGAAAAGTGAGTGATTGATTGATATATATGATGTGACATTTTGGTTTTTTTTGGCATTTTGACTTTTTTGTGGCTTTTTTAGCAAGAAAACACAAACCAACCAGGGCCTCAATTTTTGTGGCAGAGTACTTGGATTGCTGGAGTTCCTTCCAAGGTTGCATTTTGTGTGGACGGCAGTGTTAGATAGGATTTCGACAATTGATAATCTTATTCGGTATTGGCAAATTTTGGTTAACTAGTTTTTTTTTTTACCTCATATTTTAACAAAAAAGCTAAAAAGTTACTAAAATAGCTTGCTCCCAAATGAAACTTAAATCACGAAATAATATGATTTGATATCAAGTACAGTCTATAAATATTGAAGTTTGAATTTCATTTCTGTTGGTGAGAAAATAACTTTTTGTCTCTTTGATGGTGCACTGGTAGGTTTTCTTTTAGTTTTTTTTTTCTCTTCCTCAAGCACACAATTGATGTGGAACCCAATGCCAGAGGTGAGTACCATGACTTAACAATGAATACAAATATGATAAAGAGTTTTTTTTCTTTTTTATATTAGATTGTGAATTCTGCAATAGATCTTGACAGTGCCGAAAATACTCTTTGCCTTCAAACAAGAATAATTCCCAAATCTCTTTTTTCAGCAGTCCCATCAACTCATCTCCAATGGTGGATTCTGCATACAAAATGATTATATGATTTTCAATAGCCATGGCCTGTTTAGATTGTATGCTGTTTCATTCTTGCTTTTCATTCTTGCTTTCTTTATTTTTTATTTATTTATTTTACTGTGATACGGAACCCATGTGCGGTGCACCGTTTCTTATATATCTACCAAACGCTGCAACTCTGGCTGATGAGAAAAACAAATGAAATGCTGCAACTCTTGGTACAAGTTGTGGCTAAATGATATAGCAACAGCTTCTACAAGAAACGTGAGGGTATTTTGGATAGTGAAAAAGTAGAAAGCACTAACATTCTTAGTACTTTTTAAAATAGTAGTAGATAGGAGATTGGTGTTGCATGTGTCATGGGGATGCGGAATTGGTTGCTCATCTTCTTCATTGCTCTGTGGCAAACTAGTTTTGGGTGTTGATATTGTATGTGTTTTGCATGGTTTTGATGCAACAAGGCAGTGTGTCATGGGCCGACTCCTTTAGAGGCGCAACAGATCAATTTTTCGCCCGTGTGGCGTTCAAACTCCACCAAGTTTAAGCCCGCCATAGCTCATTGACATATCAAGTGTTGATGGTCTCACCCATTTGAACATTAGGGCCCAATGCTTTGTCAAGCAAAACAACTTCACAAGGAAGCTCTGTCTTCACTCGGATGTCACAAGTAGGCCTAACACCTCAAGTGCACTAAGCACGGCATAAGTCGCTTCATAGCGCCAAGCTTACCTTAAGCAAGGTGCTCGCCCAACATAGGTTTATGTCACCAAGGTGCCTAACCACACAACAACGTGTTAGCGAAGGCCCTCGACTTAGCCGACAAGCCAACGTTGCATGTTGGGTCTTTAATCGAAGTGTCGTAGGGTCAAGCATGCCTCAATAGATGCATAGTGGATGGCCACTTGGTCATGCAAAGCCCATAAGCCACCGAGGGTCAATCTCTTGCCCACTGCGTAGTCCTCGTGCCAACACGTGTGTTAGATTCCGCCCAAGGCCATTGCGCACCTTAGCGTTGCACCAACGTGTAGCATGAGTAAGGCAACATCTCAATCCGTAGCTTGCTTGTAGCATAATGTAGTCCCTCAATGGACTTAGTCAATGCATAGCTTGATGCCTTCATTCGATAGTCCACATATGCGGTGTCGCCTTCCAACCGCTTAGCTTAAGCCACGGGATCCCCTCGTGTAAGGTTGAACCCAAACCAAGCCCTTGAGTCGGCACACGAGACCTTTAGTGGTGCCTCGATAGCCCATTCGGTTCAAAACGAGTCCCAAAGATGCCAAATTGCGTGGCATAATGGAAACAACGTAGTGAACCTCTCCCTCGGGGAGGTACGCGCAGTGCCTACATTATTGCACTGTCCACGGAGCTCCCAAACCCACGTGGAGACTCTAGACACCCCTCTGGATGCCTAAAGCCCGCCCTTGAGTTGCCCCAAGGTTGCTCACTTGAAGCCCTGTGTGGGCGGGGAGGTAGGTAGGTAGCACACCTTGCCCCCTTATATATGCTTGTTAAGCAATTTGCCCTCTGGCAGGAGGAAACATCAATATGTCCGAGAAGTCATAATGATTTTTCATAAATTCCACAAGTTGAGAAAAATCACGAAACTTGGTCGGGAAAACACTTCCCCCAAGACCTCTTTCCAGTAAAAATTTCAGCCCAAAACTCCTTCGTTTGAATGCCAAAACAATGCGCCAAAATTCTGCACTGTTGGCTGCCATTGCTGGCTGCTGCTGCCGTGTTTTGCTGCTGCTGGCAGCGCTGGTTGGCTATTAGCATGGGCTGCAGCCTTGTCGTTTGCTGGCTATTGGTGGCCTACATGACTTGGGTTGCTTGGGGCCAATGTTAGGCCACGTTGGGGCACTTCCAACGGCCACTCTTGAGCACTCAAATGGCCACACCACCGCGAGCGAAACATCACGGAGTTAACCTTGCAAGGCAACCCGTGACACAGTGCCAAGGGTGGTTTTCATAGTTGGAGAGGGGTTAGAGTTGGGAAGAAGTGCCAGATGGTGTGGGCTCTTGCGCCATTGTGATTGATGTGGTTGACTTGGTTGGAGCGCAATCGATGGATATTTCAGGAGGGGGATGAATGTGTGGCTCATTTGAAGTATAGGTTATTGGTGATTTCCCTTTCCCTAGGAGTTCTAACCATGTTTGCAACAAGTAAACTCCTTTAACTCAGCTGGTGGCTCATTTATCACCAGAATATCCTCAGGTTATTCAGCTCCAAACTTGGCAAGAGCATCAACACGTAGATTACTCTTATGCATGTGATGTGAAACATGTTTGTTTGAAATAAACAAACTTTTTAGCTATAGTGAAATTCACCTAGTAAAAAATGAGTGGGAAACTCATCTCTCTCTCTAGTATAGTGAAATATAACTATCATAGTAAGAGGAGAAACTTGAATTCTTGAACTTTAATGAGGTTTCTATCCATCTCATTTGACTATATGGTTGATTATGGTTGAACTTTAATGAACCCTATATCCATCTCATTCTTGAACTTTAATTAAGCAAAGTTGATTATCGTTTGTTTTTTTTTTTTTTTTTTTTTTTTTCGATTGGCACCGGGGTGTCCAAATCAAAACCCGACTAATCCCAAGGGTGCACAGGCCCTCAGCAAAGAGTTTTCCGCAAGTGCACCACAGTTAATTCAAGAGTTTCTTCCCAATCCCATGGCCCGAGGAATTGTTAGCACCTAAAAGGTTTCAATCCCTAAACCTTGGAGGGAGGGCCACCAGGCCAACCCCTTAGGGTTAACATTTTGATAGCAATGTTACCAATGAGTTTACCTTGAAATCTATGAAAAAGGAGTTTGTAGCTATAGGCTACAGTTGAACTTGAGAATACACCAAGCTGCAATTAATATTTACACATATCGGAAGAAAGAAGAACGAAATGCTCCATCTTTTCCAACTTAATTTTATACTCTTGCAAGGATAATTGATTTAGGTCTTTGCTTCTCCCTCATCAATTGGAAGCAAATTTCATGTTAACTGTTCCAATTACTCAAAATCAAGTTGTCACATATTAAGATGCCGAATAACTGGGGATTGAAATCTCAGTTCAAGTGGGGCATTAGCCTTATTATCCGTAAGGTTAAATCTGTATTATTCATAATGAATGATTCCATCGATATGATTAGGCCCCCTTCCCCTGTTGGGATGCCAGGGTCTGGGCTGTTCTAATTTTGGACAGTACAAACATTGCTGCCCGATCTTATTTAATGCAATGCAGTTATATTGGCTTATACACTTAGTTGCTTCTATCCGTACAGTACATATAACAACAAAATATTTTATTTACTGACGTCATTTGCCTTCCCACTTGTAGTTTGCGGTTCAATCTCTTGAATAAAATGGGCAGAAAACAGAACCAATAAATCTTTACTATATGATAAGAGAGACTGCTAAGTTGGATTGGAGAACATAAAGCATTTAATTCACATCTGACAATATGAAAGGCAATACACTGTTAAACTGATAATGAATCCAGCCATCACAATTTTTT